AGAGAGAGAGAACACTAAAAGACCTAACACACTTAGCTATGGCACTGTCGTATACATTGAATTATTCCATTTGATAATATGTAATCAACTTAGGCACCCCACCCAATCTTTAAAAAAAAAATTACAATACAAATATTCATAACTCATAATTCTCATATTCGAATACCTGAATAATTTCGAATATTTGATTAATCGTTCACACCCCTAGTGTGCGTATTAAATGGATTGCACGTCCTTTAAATGACCTGTAATCTAATCTTTAGTGCTTATGTAAAGAGTAAAAACTGAGCTATCTGCAGTCACAAATACTCTCACTGATATGGCACAGCAGAGAAGGCTTGGCAAACACACACAAGTCCACAGCCAGTCGTGTTGTTTCTCACAAAGACCTTGATAGCTCCTCAGACTGCCGATGACTGACAGAACAGAACGGAGTCATTTAGTGTTTAATAACAGTTGTAGGATTTTGAAGGTAAACTAAACAAATGACACAGTACACACATGATAAAATGTGTGCTGATAGGAAATGAATAAATAGCAGTGGTTTGCCGCATTACAAAGTACATTTGTCCCACCTACAACATAATGAAATGTTATTTTACATGAATCATGAGTCCATTTTCATGCTCCGGTGCATTTCCCAACTTCACTCAAAAAGCTACTAAAGTGACGTCGTGTTGAACTCCACTCCACTCCATTTTCTCACCTTTGAAGTGCAAAACTCGCTCTTCAATGTGCTGCTGTGTTTTTGTATGTATAAGCCGACCTGGGTTAGGCGAGGGTAACCGGGCACATTAAAGCTTGGCTCTTTCAAGCTGTTCAAAGAATAAATATTCCCATATATGATGATGATGATGAATATGTGGTTACCAAGAACAAGGCAGCTTTTTCAGCTTGATTTAAGATATTTTGAATCACACTGTCTTGATCTCATTTGAAGTAAAATATTCAAAAAAAGAGCCATCATTTATTGTAATTATTTGGCAGCAATCTAGACAGATGTTTGGGCTGAGGATATATTGTCTACCACAAATAAGCTATAAAGGTCTCAAGTCTCTGGCATCAAGACGAGCTTTATCCTCTTCATCTGTCACCTCCTCTCCAAACTGAGCTGTAATGAATAGCAGGATTAGATGAGAGCATCTCTAGCTGCTGTTTTACAGAGATAGAGCACAGAGCCGCCTCTTTCCGTTACATCCTTCTCATTAGCCTATTGGTGTGTGTTTGTGTGTTCAGTGTGTTGTCTAAGGGTGGTGCTCCTGTGTGACTTTCTGCTTGCTGTGTATATCAGGACCACTGACAATGTGCTCATCAATGTGTCCTGCCACTTCCCATAAATCCCACTCACCTAAATACGGTGATTACCACGACAGGTCTAATTTGAAGCTCATCTTGGAAGAAAAGGATGTTTCTTAACCGACAGTGAAATTAGAAAGCATTTTTGTTCTCCTGATTTAAGTAGACAGCACATGTCAGAAGTAGAAGAAGCACTGAGCTCCACAGATCATGTTGATGTTGCGCTGCACAATGCCTATACTGTCTGCCTAATCAAATGTAGAGTCTAAGATTAGAAGACATACCATGTCAAAACAAACAGGCTTCCATCTTGAATCCTTGCAAGAGAAGGTTTGCAGTTCTCCAGCTGCTGTAGTTTTGGTTAAGCTGCAGCCTTTTTGTGTAAATATTTTCTCCTTATTAAAAAAACAGACTCAGACGATTACTGCTCTCTATGCTTCCTTTCTTTGACTTTTCTTCTCTTCTCTTTATTCAGACACACTCTTTACAAAATGATTACTGTGAATATCTAGAATAGATCAAGATTCCACAGTTTGACTGATATTATTTTAACCTGTGTCCTGAGCAGTCTGAGTTGGAAAAATGTACATGTGAGACATGGGGAAGGAAAGCAGGATAGATGAGAGGTATGACATGCAGACAGCTGAGAGTATGGGGAAATCACTACAGGGAATCCAATGAGAAAAACTGCAGCATACGAACACTTCTAAATTAAGAGACAATCCTCCAAATTGCTGAATTGTGAATCCTTAAATTTGCAAAACATACAGATTTGTAATTAGCCTGCAGAGTTGTCTGTGTCATAACAAGTTTGATATCAATAACAATACAATATACACCACAATACAACTATGTATTAAATCCAGAAGATCATTTGAATGTGACTGACAGAAATGTAATGAGTGATACAGTAAGCTAATTGTATTACAATACAGTATGTTAACAATTATATAATTGACTGTTGTTCACAGTCTATGGAGTTTGTTAACTTACAGTAATGTTATACACTGATTCTACAGTAAGTTAACAAGTATGTTAACTATAGTAAGTCAATGGTATAATAATAACTGCAGTAAGGTAACTAAAATACAGTTAGCTAACAAGTCTAAGCTAATGGTATTGTAACCACACTAAGCTAAAAACGTTTTCTAGTAAGCTAACAAATATGATAACTACAGTAGGCTAACGCTAAGCAAAAAAAAGTAAACTAATACAGAAATGTAACACATCATGACTACGTTGAGCCAGTGGTATGATAAGTAAAGTAAGCTAATGTTATGTTACAGTAAGCGCATGATTATAGTAGGCTCACAACAAGTATGCTAACTAAGCTAAGCTAATGAGTATAATAATAAGTAATAGTTTATTAATGTTGGTGAATTGTAGGTCAATGTTGCTGTTGTTATAGACATTGTTGAGACATATTTCTGACTTTATAACTCTTAATGACTCCATTTGTGATTCGGTTTGAGTGGCGTAGCATTAAAGCTAAATTTATCTAAACTTTTTTTCAATTTAGCTACTCAGCCCGGAAATCAAATATTTCTCTCTTTTTCCTCATTTTTACTGTCTGTCTGCTGTCACATTTTAATAAAGGAAAAATGCAACAAACATTATAGTGGCCTAGAGACGACACTGTTTTTCTCCTATAAGGCAGAAGAAAATAATATGAAAAGGGTGCTTCTGTAAATAACCTTGTGTTGATGTGTCCTTCCTGCAGCTCGAGGCAGGAGGTGGATCGAGCTGAAGGTGGAGGAGCAGAAGACGTATGTAATGAGGTTGCTGGATGCACTGGAGGTCACGGACAGAGATAAGAGGCTGAAAGTGGCCAGGGCAATCCTCTACTTGGCTCAGGGTGCGTGGGCCTAATACTGTACAACAGGCATTATTCATTTTCCACATCAGACAAAGTAGTTTGACAATGTGCCAGCATTCACAATACCAGAATAAACTCAGCCACCTTTACGTTTATTTTTACAAAATGTGCTTTCTACTGTGACAAAGTCAAAATGTCACCATGCTGTAGCAGTTATTGTATGGCTATAGATACACATCTATAGCTTTGACCTAGCCTAGTGGGTTATGCATTTGATTTATAAATGAGCTGCAAACCTCTCCAATTAAAGTAAAAGCACATTGAAAACATAAACTAACATCTCTTGTTTACTGTTTACCCCAGGAGTGTTTGATGAGTGTGACACCGAGGTGGATGTGCTCCACTGGTCCAGACACAATGTTTTTCTGCTCTACGACATGGGAATCTTCACAGCACTGCTGGAGCTGCTTAGCATGGAGATAGAGTGAGTAAGACACGCCGAATATGCTCGGGATGTACGAGTTGTTGAATATGTTTTTAAGATTAAAAAAATTATATCAAAGCCACATGCTAGAATGTCCTTTTGAGCTTGGATTTGCTTGATAAGATGACAGGCTTGCTCCCATCCAAAAGGATTTTGGCTCCTGGAAAATAAGCAGGGCAGATGATTTCCTTCAGAGGTGCAAAAAAGTTAAAATATGTATTTTAAATATATGTACACTAGGCAAAGGCCTGCAGCAAAAAAAGGAAGGAGTGGGCTTTCAAATTGCCATTATGATTCTCAGGTAAAAGAAAAACATTTTTTTCCACAATCTTTCATAGGGGGGCTGTCATGATACCAAAAGATCACAGGTTCAAGCCCTGAAAAAGATCAAAATTCTCTCAGTATCCTCCTGTGTTATGGCGCATTTCCACTGCAACGGGGTAGCCCCGTTTAAGCGTCCCTAAGCGTCCTCGCTCAGGCCTCGGGCTGCCTCGCTGGCCGTCCGAGGCCGTGGCGCATTTCCATTACAGTTTAGGACCTGGGGTAGCAACGCAGTGTAGGCGGGGCGATCGGCTCTGTTTTTGTTCACATTTCGAGTTGTTCCGTCGAGCTCCCGCTCGATTTGATCATCCCCAATGAGATGTAGGAACGTCGTCACCTCCTCGGTCGACCACGGTGTGCTTTTCTTATTAGACGTAGCCATTTTTGTAGCTCATCCGTTTACAAAATGCTGTTTATAAAAATGCTGCAAGCTTGCTTCTAGATATATATGCGACGCTAGGGATGAACTCGCGCGCGATCTTGTGACGATTCTCTCTGACCAATCAGCAGGCGAGAGTGTTGACGTCACTAGTTCAGCCCTGGCCCTGGTCTGAGGGAACCACGATTTTATGAGGCCGGAAAAAGAGGGGAAAAGTACCCGCTAGCTGGTACTAGGCTATATGGAAACGCCACCAAAAACTGGCCTGGCCGCTTGAGGACGGTTAAGGACGCTTAAACGGGGCTACCCGCTGCAGTAGAAGACCTAGTCCCTCAGCACATCCCTTTCTTCCTTTTTAAGGTTTATGAGGATAGGAAGACAGACACAGAAAGGCTTTGAGAGAGAGGAAAATAGATACTGTATAGGAATAGAGCAAACGCACCGCCTGTGATCCACACTTCAAATATTCCGTGGAGGACGCGTTGCAGTAGCGGCTCCTTCAAGTCAGTTTTGTTGCTGCTGGTGTCAGCCTCAGTTTGGGATCCTGTGCTTCTTTGTTGTTACATAAGCTGCTCTGAGGCATCATGCACAGTCTGGCATGCTGCACGGCAAAGCAGTGTAAGCAAACTAGCAAACACTCACATGGTGCTGCTTATACACCTATTTTTCAAATAGACCACTAAAATGATGCAGTATTTACTTGTGTGTGCAGCAATAACCAGGCGTGCAGCAGTGCAGTGAGGAAGCCTGCCATCTCTCTTGCAGACAGCACGGAGCTCAGGTAAGAAATATATAAGTTCATGACTCCCAGCCTACTGCACATTCCTCTCACTTCACACAAAAGGAATGCCAATAAGTACAAGAATATCTTCCAATTCTTCAATGTTATGCCTCTTGCTCTTTCTATTATATACTTCATTCTCTGACATTTCTTTTCGGCTTCTTCATAATGGAATTGATTTTTGAACAAAGTAGGCTGAGCAGCCCCTCTGCACACACACACAGCTGCATACCAAGTCATACGCTAACAAATAATAACAGGCTACAGGAGTGGATTTGCACTTAATTGCTGCTACGGAACTGAAAGCCATTACAGTGATTTTGAGGCTTTGTTGAGGGGACAAAGCGTCCTAATGCACAAAAACCCCGCCTGACTTACATCAGGTAATTGTGAATGGATGATGTATTATCCTGGCAGAGAATACAAATAATTTCCTCTTGTCCCTCTTTGAACAAGAAAATTGCATTTAGTCCTTCTTTGTTGTTACTCATTACGTCCTCCACCATATTAATGCCTCTTGTACTTGTAGACCTTTTAGGACCATTATTTATTGTGTTGCGTACCAGGGAAATGTCTAACACACACGCACACATACACGCAAGCTAAGAAATTCGTTTTTTTCCCTTGCAGAGTCTTACTGAGCATCATGTACCTTATGGTGGAGACTGTTAGAGTTCAAACAGAGGATGACAGACCAGAGTGGAGGGCAGCAAGAGAAGCCTTCAAGAATGAGCTAGGTATGCGTGTGTGGATGTTATGTAGCTATATAAGAAGTAGTAGATCTTTACTTTCATAAATGTACATTCCTTTGATCTGATTTAGCATACATTTCTGTATAATACAGATTACTCTTTCCTTCAGGGCTTCCTAAGTTTATTTATCGAAAGAAATAACTGCTTCATGTCTATCTTTGAGCATCTTCAGCACAGAATAGAACGCCGCCCCCTAACAGATGCTTTCCAATATCCAATCTAAAATCCACCTTTGACCCCTCAGGTTCACCTTTGTACAACGGAGAGCCCTTTGCCCTGCTCCTCTTCACCATGGTGACCAAGTTCTGCAGCATGAACGCCCCACACTTCCCCATGAAGAAAGTACTACTGCTGCTCTGGAAGACAATACTGGTTAGTACATTATGAACTTTCAAACATTGAAACATAATGCACATATTCTATTATTATATATATTTTATTTTTTGCACGTTTATTCATTATGTTTAAACCTGATATATCTGTAAGGTTGCAGATCAGTATTAAGCTACACTAAAATGATGATTATTATTATGATACTATTGGTGGTATTGGAGTTAGCTGCCAGTGATGGTTGAGAAGGATCTTTAAATAAAAAAGTCAAAATCTGTGCAATAAAGAGTCCCATCCGATTGGATGAATAACTCTTATCTATGCAAGCTCTGCATGTCAAAAAGAATCACTTTCAGTACAGAACTAGTACCTATATTTTGTACATCCTTTCCATTCCTTACCTTTCCATGTAACATTCTGAGTATCATCTACAGAATGAAGTGTATTCTAGTGGAGATACATCCACCTGCATCAGTTCCTCCTGACTCTGTGATTCCCTGAACCTATTCTTGTAAATGACCGTGTTCCTCTCTCCATCCTTATCTTCCAGTTCACCTTGGGGGGTTTCGAGGAGCTCCAGGGGATGAAGGTGAGGGGCCGGGAGCGTCTGAACCTGGCCCCGCTGCCGGAGGACAGCATCAAGGTGGTGAGGGCCATGAGAGCTGCCTCCCCCCCCCGCCTCTGCCATGGAGCTCATCGAACAACAGCAGCAGCAGAAGAGAGGCCGTCGCAGCCGCAGGGTACACACACACACACACACACACACACACACACACACACACACACACACACACACACACACACACACACACACACACACACACACACACACACACACACCAGGGTGTCCGCGGGGTCTTAAAAAGAATTAAAAGTTGATAAATCAATTTAGCGAAAATTATTAAAAAGTATTACGGCATTTTCCAAGGTGTTACATTTTGTAGCTTGTTTTCAATAAGTATATAAATGGTCCAAAGAGGTTGTATTCTACAGTCTGCCTGAATGTAATCATTGCGTAGGTGTATAGTGTGATTCTGTGTAGTTTATTTATGGCATCCCGTTGGATTTGACGTCATCTGAACAGGACATCGCACGCTCACTGCTTGATAGCGCGAAGGTCCGTTTACGCCGGTTGTTAAACAACATCGTTATGGGGAAATGCAAGTCTGCGTCCAAATGGTTGGAAGATAATGAGGAAGGACCATCAATACTGTATATAGTCAATGTGAGGTAAAGTGTGTCGCCAATGTAACCGGTTAGAACTCAAAGTGGCGATGAGGTCTTAAAATGTATGGAAAGGGTCTTAAAAAAGGTCTTAAAAGGTGTTACATTTGACTTCAGGATTCCAGCATATACCCTGACACACACACACACACACACACACACACACACACACACACACACACACACACACACACACACACACACACACACACACACACACACACACACACACACCCACCCACAGAGCTAGTTTTTAGGACTACAATATATATTCACTAACATGAAATACAGCTTCATCTGTTTCTAGCAAAGTGATCCCATAGACTTCCTTCTGTAATCCTCACTCTAACACTTTGCTGAGTCATCACCGGTTTCTGCTGTAAGCCGGAGATGTTCTCGGTGCTGGGCTTTGACTGGACAGGCTCTCCTCTTTAATTCCACTCTGGTTTCTCATTGCCCCTCTTCCTTGTGTCCCCACAGAGTGCCTTTGTTGATAGCTTGGAAGGAGACAGTCCCTTTGCCAAGAAGCAGGTCTCTACCCACAAATTCCCTCTTTTCCTTCTGCATTTTCTCTCTGCATTGAGCTGGACTTGCACTCCTCCTCTCCCAAATCCCTGCGACCTTCTTTACTCTCTCTCGGCTTTCTACCCTCCTCTCCTTTTCCTTTTCCTTTCTTTGACTTTTCTTCTCTTCTCCTCCTGTCATTTAACCTCATCCAATTGGGATGCACCAAAAACTGTTTAGCTTCAAGTGCTTTTGGTGAAATCCTACTCCTTTGCCTCTTTCCAATACTTAAAGGGATAGTTTGACATTTGGGAATTACACACTGTATTTTGGTGATTTTACTGGAAGTTGCGCGCTGAGAAAAGTTCTTGTACGGGGCAGTGACTTCCTGAAATATTTGCTTGTTGCCTGGCAACGCCACTGTTAAGAGAAGCGAAATCGGTATCAATCCTCTTTACTAACTGAAATGTGGTTATTCAACTGAAAGTGAATAGCCACATTGTGGACAAAATGTCAAACTGTTCCTTTAATTTAATTGTCACCATCTGCATGTTAGCTTCCCATTTGCTTTCACTTTAATAATTATTTTATTTAAATTATTTTTATCCATTTTATTCAGCTTTTCCTACTTGAATGCTTATGTTTTAATTTCTCCTCCATACATGCCTATATCCTCCACGTGCCTCCTAATTTTCCTTCCTTCCTTTTCATTCCATCCTTCTTAGGCCTTCATTATTAACTACTTCATATATGCCTTATTTCATCCCTTTTATCCTGCTTTTCCTTCCTTCCTACCCGCTTCAAATGTTATCAGTCAATACAAATGACTTGGACTTCACGTACATTCATAGGTAATCATACACAGGACTTTAACCCAGGAGAGAGGCGTTTGTGTCTTGTGGGAAAAAACAAAGACAGCAAGATTACCTATTTTAATTAAAGTTTTGTAAGTGCAATCATCTTCAGTGTATAAATTAAAATAATTCAACGTTATGAACAAACATAGCTAGTCTGAAATACATAACCCACTCAACAAATGTACGCTATTAAAGTTACACAATAAACATACTTAATTGAACCCAAACCAAGATATTTTCCTTAAACTTACCAGGTACAGTTTACACAGGATGAAGCATTAGTAGGGATTACTACTGATAACGGCCATTTAATGGGCTGAAAACATTTTAAAACGTCCTTCCTGTCTTCCTACTGTCCTTTTCCCTCTCCCTTCCCATGCTTATTCCACCATTTACATCCTTCTCCTTACTTGTCCTATCTCACCCTGCCCCCTCTTTTACTCTCCTCTTCTGTCTCCCTTCTTTTCCTCCACTGTGGCCTGCTCAGTACGGGGGTGGGATTTAGAGACAGGGCTGACTTGCTGGCTGTTGTCATTGGCGCTGGAGCGGTCACTATCCACTGTCCCGTAAAAGTCACTTCAGACATCGACTGTAGTAGCATCTCCCTTGTAGTTCTCATCACATTGCTACCAGGTTTGGCTGCAAAAATCACCTTGCACTGAAGGTTCTGGACTAGGGGTCAATGTCCTTGATATGCATTCATTGAGGAGGTGAATTGTACGGTGGCCGACAGGTGCAAATGCGTAGCAACGGCCTAAAACATTTCCATTAGGAGAAATGCGTTGCAGTTTAAAAAACAATGCAAATAAAAAAACACAAATGTGCCAAAACACTTGCAAATGAAATAACATCGTCACCAACTTGACGAACAAGCACAACGTTTATTAAAAGTTAAATGTTTTGACACATTTGTGATATTTTATTTAGCATCGTTTTTGTAAGTGCAGCGCGTTTCTCCTAATGGGTGTATTTTGGGTTGTTGTAACACGTTTCCCCCCTTCTGCTACCATAGAATTGAGATCATCATGGACATACTCTCTCTTTCAGTTGACCTCTCTCTCACGTGGATGTCATTGAAAGCGGTTGTCCCCTAACCCTGATGGAAAACGTAGCTTTACCTCCCACATAGCACAGAATGGCTGCTCCATAGAGAATGGCTCACAACACCTCCTCCTCCCTCCCTCTCTCCCCACCATATTCTCACTATACTCCTCACTTAGTCCAGCGTTAGCACTGCCACCAGCGCACCATGCATCGACTGCACAAGCTCAACTAATGTCCAGAAACGCTGACTCATGCCTGATGCTTGCAATTTTACCACAGTCATTCATTGGAGAAATTGTGAAAACTGCAGTACTGTGTGTGGGAATGTATGTTTCGCACGGACTTGGGTTTGTTTCTAGTAAAGAGTTTAATACAAATCTAAGCCTTATTGGGCCATGCTTGCATTTTTGTCTGTATGTTTTGAAATGCAGATGTGCGGTAAGTTTAATGTGACATTTTGCTTGCGTTTGCTTTGGGTACCTTTGGGCAGAGCCAGCCTAGCTGTTGTTGCTAAGCTAATCGTCGCCTGCTAGTAGCATGATATTTAATGGATGAATAGTAGTTTTTATGTCAACTACATATAAACAATGGCTATAACTCAATATTAAATCAGTCGTCTGTCCTTTTTTTGATAAGGTCAAATAAAAAATAGTTTCCTGTACAGTACTTTCGATTCAGGATAGTAAAAATAAGCCCTATTTTTTTAACTTGTTAAAAGGATTTTATTTTACAGTATCACACAGTTATGTGATTGTCCTAACTCTTAAATTAAGCTATATGATGAGTTAAATAAGTTATCTAAAAACTGTGTTATACATCATTTTGTACATATTTCCTTATTATTTGTAACATATTTAGTATTTTGGAACTAAAGGGGGTTCGAACAATGTTTGGCTGCACAGCATGATCCTGCTTGTTGAGGGGCTGATTCAGTTCATGTGGTGGATTTGGGTAATTTCTAAGTTTTTTGCTATTTTACAGCTAGAATTCACTAGATTTCATATGAAGGATGAGCTTAATACTCCGCCGTGTGTTGAAAGGTCATGTGGCTCTTGACATGTGACGGCCTCTCTTCTCTCTCTCAGCCCCTGGTGAAGCAGGACAGCCTGGACACGTACAACGAGCGGGACCCCTTTAAGAACGATGACGCCCGGGACGAGGAGGAGGACCCCGAGGACACGGACAGCGGCATCGAGGGAGAGGTGGATCCCTTGGACCGTGATGTCATCATCCAGCCCCCGCCTCCACCACCTCCCCTCAGACCCCCCACAGAGAAGGTCAACTTACCCAAAGGCCTCCCCTGGGCCCCTAAAGTCAGGTTAATGCAGTCTTCATTCCTTTTTTTATCTTATGTTGTGAGATGTGTGTGTTAGCAAGGGTCAATAGTCTACTTTGAAGGGTTCTTGTTAGTGTGTATGCAAGTGTAGAGGAATCACATTGGGGCGTGTTTTACCCTTCTTTTTTAATGACCAGATTAGCCTTTATTTGAGAGTGACAGTGTTAAAAAGGGGAGATAGAGAGGATGACATACATATAAGCCTGAGAAAACAGCCTGAGAAAACAGCCAATAAGAGTTTTTCTGCCTGGGATGGATAATGAAATCCCTTGGTCCAAAAAATGTCAGTTCTCTGTATTTGCCTTATTTTCCCAAATTTGTTTTTTTAGCATAAGGCAGCGGAAACACTTGGCCCCCTGGGCCGTGGGAAGGAAGTTAATTCCCTTTCCCCTTAGCCCATCCTGAACAACCCCAGGATCCATTGGGAGAACACTGTTCATATGGGGAAACATAATGTATTTATGTTTGTGTTATTGCTCAGACATCAGTCTACCCCAGCAGGGAAAGCAGAAGATGGAAAAACAAATGAGAGGGAAATAAAAAAGTAAACGCCTACAAAAACAATAAATTAACAATAAAAGCTGTCGCCTCTTCCTGAAGTTTAAATAGTTCTTATAAATACCCCCTTACAGCCTTACTTCAGTTTACATGACTTATTAAATGCCAAGCCAGATAGGAAGTGTTAACAGGCATTACAAACTGCATAAGTAAGACCTTTGTATGATAAATACACAGATCCATTACTGTAGCTGCCAAAAATGATCCTCGCCAGATTTGTTTATTAGTTTAAAAACACATAGCTCTTATGCCACTGAATAAAACATATAGGTTGGCCTTCTGCCATTCTGACCAGTATAGAGTGGAGAAAACCTCTCACTCACAGCCAGGACTTTACACCATTCGGCTGGCAGCTGTTCTCAGTCTCCCATCTTGGTTCTGTGCCACCATTTGAACGTTAAATCTCTCAGTTTACTCTCCTCGCAATACGCTCTCCATCTGTGTGTTCCTCACAGGGTCGTGTGGTGTCCTCGCAGGGTGCCACCTCTGCTCTGCGACATGAATAATGCATCAGAGAGAGGACACAAATCATTTATAGCAGTCCATTTATCAGCCGTTCATTATCACAAAACCTATATCTGTCTTTTGCTCAGTGAACCTTAAGCAGAAGTGATGGCTGCAACATACAGGGCTGATGAAGGTCTGATCCGAAAGAGGCTCTCAGAGTGTGACTGATGAGATTTTAGAAAGCGTAATGTTGCTCTTCTTCATGTTTGTGTGGGTGCTTCTGACTGCTCACTTGAAAAATGGCTGTTTAATTTCTCAAAATCTGTCTGTGTGTGTGTGAACAGGGAGAAAGACATCGAGCACTTCCTGGAGACCAGCCGTAACAAGTTTATCGGTTTCACTCTGGGGAAGTAGGTATTTAATTTGAGACAATATCACATACGGTGCCTTCTTCAGGTTCTGGTGTAACTGTGTGTTATTTTGCAGCGACACAGACACCCTGGTGGGCCTTCCCAGACCCATCCATGAGAGCGTGAAGACCCTTAAACAGGTGAGAATTATCCGCCTCTAAGACATCGCTAATACACTGAGGCCCATTACCAAATCTCCTTCTTCTTTTCCTCCTTTACTCAAAGTGTTTGTTAATCAATACTCTATTTCTGCTGAACCCCCCGTCATTGAGATCACACTTCAAAATCAGTACTTAGTGTTTAAGCAAACTGGATGTGTATTTACAAAGAGGAATGCCTCTCTGGGTGCCAGTTAGAAGTGCTAATTAACACTTGTGTCTCACTAGAGACCTTGGCTTTTTGGCAAGTTTAAGAGTGTATCATAAAGAGTGTTTCCAAAATAAATACACTCAGACTCTTGAGGACAAAATGTCCCTCACTGCAGCCCAATATTAGTGATCGAACTTCCATTACAGCAGGAAATAATATCAGACTTTTAATCTATAGCAACATTGTCATATTTATAATTTTCCACCAGATGAAAATACTTTCATATGTGCCCTATGGAGAAAATCATCCTGCACCCAAACATATACAAATGGATTAAATTAATGTAGATAATCATATACCTAGTAAAGTCTTAAAGAAACATCCCCAGCACTAAATGAACATAATTCAGATTCACATTTTTTGGGGTTTTATTTTCCATAAAAGTCGATGTGAAGGTACACAATTCGGTATAGTAAAGGGGTTAAAATTCTTAAAACCAACAAATATTTGGATCAGGACTGCATTGGTTTAAACTGGATTCAACTCCTTAAAATATATATATATATTTGTAACGTTTACATTTTTGTACTCTTAGGAGAATTGCTTCTTTTCAATAATTATGAACAATAGTCAACACCTCTTCTGAAACATTTATATACATTCATATTGTTACGATGTGTGTAGGAAGCAGGACCCAAATGCAGATTAAAGTGTCAAAAATAACTCCTTTATTTCAAGGCTAAACTATAAACGAAGACAGAACAGAACACTCACCGAAGACCAAGTCATAACACAAGACGAACCGACAGAGACAGACAGAAAAACCAGAACTTAAATACACACAAGACTAATTATACAAACAAGACACAGGTGAGGAGGGAGGAGAAAACACAGGGACACCTGGTGCACACAATCGGGTAATAAGACACACCAGGGAAACTAACGACAGGGAACCACAGACAGATCTAAAGACAAAACACAACGCAGACAGAAAACCAAAGACAGATCTAGACAAGACACAACGCAGACAGAAAACCAAAAACAGATCTAGACAAGACACAACGCAGACAGAAAACCAAAGACACATCTAGACAAGACACAACGCAGACAGAAAACCAAAAACAGATCTAGACAAGACACAACGCAGACAGAAAACCAAAGACACATCTAGACAAGACACAACGCAGACAGAAAACCAAAGACACATCTAGACAAGACACAACGCAGACAGAAAACCAAAGACACATCTAGACAAGACACAACGCAGACAGAAAACCAAAAACAGATCTAGACAAGACACAACGCAGACAGAAAACCAAAGACACATCTAGACAAGACACAACGCAGACAGAAAACCAAAGACACATCTAGACAAGACACAACGCAGACAGAAAACCAAAAACAGATCTAGACAAGACACAACGCAGACAGAAAACCAAAGACACATCTAGACAAGACACAACGCAGACAGAAAACCAAAAACAGATCTAGACAAGACACAACGCAGACAGAAAACCAAAGACACATCTAGACAAGACACAACGCAGACAGAAAACCAAAGACACATCTAGACAAGACACAACGCAGACAGAAAACCAAAAACAGATCTAGACAAGACACAACGCAGACAGAAAACCAAAGACAGATCTAGACAAGACACAACGCAGACAGAAAACCAAAGACACATCTAGACAAGACACAACGCAGACAGAAAACCAAAAACAGATCTAGACAAGACACAACGCAGACAGAAAACCAAAAACAGATCTAGACAAGACACAACGCAGACAGAAAACCAAAAACAGATCTAGACAAGACAAAACACAATACAGACAGAAACAGGCAAGACAGGAGGTGAAGACCTTTCAAAATAAAACATGAAACAAAAGACAGAAAAAGACCAGACAAAATACAATAAAGACACATATATGTTTTATAACTATGGTTTTCTCCTCCAGCACAAATATGTATCCATCGCAGAGGTCCAGATCCAAAAGGAGGACGAGCTGCAGCAGTGTCCGATGACTCTGGTCAGTAATGTCACTTCTTGGTACTATGATATTTCCAATCAAGACCCTGGAATTAATTTAATCTATTCTATTCTTCTATACAGTTTGTAAGCATCAGTCTGTGTGTGTGTATGTTGCGTTGTGCAGGGGGAGGAGGAGGTGGAGGAGACCCCAACAGAGATGCTGTATCTGGGCATGCTGCCTAACCTCTCCCAGTATGTGGTGAGTGGCTCTCAATGGTTGTTATTTTACCGTCACTCTCTTAACACCTCCTTTTTACACTTTTTCACACAGTCTTGCTACCAAATGTGTTGTTTTGGTTTAAAGAAAGCCTTTATATATACTCTAAACAAACGGATCAATGTTCAAGTGGTACATTATCTCCCTAAAAGAGAAAATAATCAAATGACAGTTTTGGATATATTTTCAGAAATGCACATGTACTGTAGCCAGAGAATGACGTCATTGTCAAGTATTCATGGCAGCAATCTTATATCATTTAAAGCACAATTGTATCTGTTAAAAAACGAAATATAGATATCAGTCAAGGTGTTACATGTTTTATTGTTACCCGTGTCAGATTGCCCTCCTGAAGCTGCTGCTGGCTGCAGCTCCAACCTCCAAAGCCAAAACGGACTCCATAAACATCTTGGCTGATGTTCTGCCTGAGGAGATGCCGTGAGTACTGAACAAACACGTCTAAATCTTTTTCACACATCTAGAGCCACATTTGGACAAGACTGTTGAACATAAAAGACCAGGTTTGTTGTTGAATTTGAGCGATATTTACAGCTGCTGTTGTCGAGCAGAACACTATTTATGCCCTTGCGCCGTCTGATTCTCATAATCGTAACAACTCAGGGACACATGGAGAGAATTTCTTCTAATTTGTCACAAACCACCACCAAAATGTTTCCCAAATTGGGATTAAAAAGTACATCTTATCTTAACTGCCTCGTTGGACCTTATCCCTTTTTTTATTTATCTGCAGGAGTTAACTTTTTGTTGCCATTTTTGGGCTAAACAAATACTATTGAAATACATTTATTTAGGGTTTGTTTTGGGTCTGCAATATGGGCTAATTGTAAAATAAATACCAGAACAGAAATCGTCCAAATGAAGAATAATCACAACCCTGTCTAACAGCGACACACCTGACGTATGTATGTTTTACTTCTGTAAGCTTTCAAAGGAGAGCCTACCGTGTCATTATATATTTCTTTCACTGAACAAAGATGTGTTTTTATTAGAGACTTAGAAGCCTTACAATTTGTGTGTGCGTGTCTCCTCCTCCAGTATCACAGTCCTTCAGAGCATGAAGCTGGGAATTGATGTGAACCGCCATAAGGAAATCATCGTCAAGGCCATCTCTGCTCTGCTGCTGCTGCTCCTCAAACACTTCAAACTCAACCATATTTACCAGGTCTCACACACACACACACACACACACACACACACACACACACACACACACACACACACACACACACACACACACACACACACACACACACACACACACACACACACACACACACACACACACACACACACACACACACACACACACACACACACCTCCAGCCCTCCCTCTTACAGGCATCTTACATTACCACCGTTCTCTCCTTTTACATTATTCTCCATCTCCTTCCCCCTGCACACACACATACCCCTGCCCCTCCCCCCATGCTACCTCCACCACCCTCCACCTGATTATCCCATTAAGTCTTCCAATGCTTTCCTCCTCTAATCATCCTCTGCACCCCCACCTTTAGACCTCCACCCCCCCCAACATCTCACGACCTCCTGCCTCACAGTTCATCTCAATGAAGACATTAAAAGAGGATTATTTGGCCCCATTTTAGGCGCTTATATCATCTTTTAAATCCAAAATCATCTTTATCCAATTCACTGTTGCTAGAAAGGGATATTCCTTCTCACACTTATAGTTGTAGCGCCCTCTTCTGCCACAAAAGGAGATTGCACGTAGAAGGCAGCTGCAGTGGGAAGAAATCAATGAGTATAGATATGACACAAACACTGTATTATGATGAGAACTGTAACATTTATGTGATCATCATAACAATCTACAGAAAAACTAGGTAAAATATAGCACATTTTAAGAAAACACAGTCGATGAAATACGGAAATATGACCCATCAGCAGTTTTTAATCTAAATAAAGCGTCTTGGACGAGGTGAAGGATTTGTATAACCTCTGCATAAGAATAGAAATCCTTATTCCTGACCTTTTGCCCGCTCAGGAAACTCATCAATGATGCAGGATTATCGGCTACAGGATTATTTTTACAGTCTTCTATTCTTTCTTGAGATATGGATTTCCCCTTCTGGCGTTTGTCCAATCAATGAAATAATCTATCAGATGTCCTTCATCTCAAAAGTCCTTTATGATTCCCAAACATTTAAAAGCAGTGCAAAACTTTATTTCTGTGGTGTTATTTCTTCCTAAGGGATAATATAACAATTCAAATAGATTTGTAGTTGTTGTTGTCTCCCAGACTCTAACTCTTCAACGCTGCCGCCTCCTCTGTTCCCGCAGTTCGAGATTGTCTCCCAGCATCTGGTGTTTGCCAACTGTATCCCACTCATTCTTAAGTTCTTCAACCAGAACATCATGTCCTATATCAGTGCCAAAAACAGGTAGGATCCTTTTCTCTTACTCTGTCGCCTCACAGAAAGCACTGCATGTCTCCTATTGCTTACAGATGCAGGGACATTATGTAATTGTGCCTCCATTTCCAGTATTTATGTAAGAAACGGCTACCATTTTAGTATTTCTACTGTTCCTTTAAATATGTGCTGCACCAGGGTTTTGTTTAAGAACCAACCTGGTGTGGAACCAGCAGGTGTCCTGAAGGTGGCACAGATGGCATCACAGCAGCAACACAATGACAGGAAATGAAGGTGTTCAAGAGAAAAACCTCAATGGTGCATTGAAGTGCATATCCAAAGATCCCATTTCCTGATTTGAGAAATTGTTCTTCTGACAGGTTTACTTTAAGGAATAATGTGGAAACAACATGGACGCTACAAAGAAGATGTTGTATTTTTATAATGTAATGCATTCTTTTCCAGTATTTGCGTGACATTTGCAATGAGGTGATTTGGTCCCAGACGTTTTTGCTTCTCAACTAAATTCTCCAACTTCACTCACATATTTCCTTTTCCGACGTGTCAATCAGGGTGAATAAACAAATATGTAACCATTTTATAACGTATCTAGGTCACTCATACACAACACAAATGTACTTTTGTTCGCCATGTTTCTGCATAATATGACGTCAAATCGCAAAGTCGTGTACAAACATTGTAAGGGACTTTCCTAGGTCATATTCCAACTTGGAGAATCATTCATGTGAATTTATTAGGGATTAGATTCTTACGATTATGCCAACACCAATTGAATGCAGCATAAGCGTCAAAATAGGTGTCAGGAGTCTTGTACTCGGGAGGGAAAGAACCAGAGTCAAGGCCAACTAGCTGTGAGGTCGTGTGGTCGTCTAACACAGTGGTTCTCAAATGGGGTACGCGGACCCCTAGGGGTACGTTGGAGTACTGCAGGGGGTACGTGAGATTTATTTTATGTTAATGGAAAAAACATAAGTAATGCATTGATCTCTCTCTCGAGTCCGGTTAGACTTCACTCGCATTTATGTCCAAATCTATCAGATCTAGCTAGTTCTAGATAATGATATGACTGCCTGCTTATCAAAGGACCTAAACAATAAGCGTTGCTTGGCAACGGCGTGTGGCCGCAAAGTATAGCGCAGCATTATGCATATGTTTATATGAGGGGTCAAAATCCCATGCTCATAAAATGCTCATATATATTTTTCTCTCTTCATTCCCCACGCCCTAAAAAAAAAATGAATAAACCAATTTTAGGAAAAGTAAGGAAGTTTGAGCAGTGTGGGTTTTATATGAACAGAGTTACACACATTTCAAAACGCGAAGTGTAATAACTGCAGTTTGCCTCCCTGAGAATGACAAAGATCCTCAGTGAAGCACAGCCACATGTTTCTCACTACATTGTACAACTTATTAAAAAGATCAGTTCAATGCAACTTATGTCGTCTTAGTGTTATTGCATGATGTTAAAATTGGTTTGCCATGAATTTAGTGATGGATTGTAAACATTTGAAATGTAGCATTTTAAGTGTTTCTCAGTTACAATGTTGTTCTTTTAATAAATCAGACACTGATGGTGCAGCGCTGTACTGTAGCTCTTTGTATAGGCATTTTGTCCCTAACAAATAGTTTTTACGCTGAACAGGGGGTACTTGGCTGAATTCTTTTTTTCAAAGGGGGTACATTATTGAAAAAAGTTTGAGAACCACTGGTCTAACAGCATAAGGTTGGGGGTTAGATCCCAGCCACTGTAGTCAATGTTGATGTATCCTTGGGCAAGGAAATTAAAGCCACATTTCTCCCGATGGCATGGCCTATGTTAGATTCCTTGAGCAGGTGCACCTCGCATGGCAGCCCCAGCCTTTTTGTGAATGGGTGAATGATGACTTGTTTATGTCAAAGCGCTTAAAGACTGGAAAAGCGCTATATAATCGAGTCCATTTACAATTTAGAAGGCTTGACAGATTTAGGTACAGTATATTTGGTAGGTAGATTTGAAAAGTGACGAGTCTTTTTTTTCTTTGCAGCATATGTGTGCTGGACTTCCCTAACTGTGTGGTCCATGAGATGCCTGAGCTCACTGCTGAGAGCCTGGTGAGTCAGCGGGACAGCTGATTGTTCCTCACTGGATGCAGGTCATGTAGTAATGGGGTGTGTGTGTGTGTGTGTGTGTGTGTGTTTCAGGAAGCAGGAGACAGCAACCAGTTCTGCTGGAGGAACCTGTTTTCATGCATCAATCTGCTGAGAATATTAAACAAGCTGACCAAGTGGAAACACTCCAGGACGATGGTGAGGAATTCTGCAAAACCTCATACTGCCGCCCCAGGGTGGGAATCTCTACTGCCTAAATAAACCCATCCTAATGAGTCTAATGAATCATATTGTGTTACATTTAGAATTATTAGTAAGTTAGAAGTACTTTGCATAACATAAATGCAGCACAAAGTTCTGTATACTGTAGTAAGGGAAACAATAGATATCAAATTAGATAAATATAAGGTAAAATACAATCCATTGAATAATAGGAATCCTAAAAGTGCAGAACACCCAATCTGTGTACATTTTATTTTGATGTGTTACACAAAAAAGGTCTTCATGCCTGGGTGGGCATTGTGTTCACAGTATGCCTCCAAATCAGCTCCCTCATGTTCCTCACTGTTTCCCTTCTCAGATGCTGGTGGTGTTCAAGTCGGCCCCCATCCTGAAGAGAGCTCTGAAGGTGAAGCAGGCCATGATGCAGCTCTACGTCCTCAAGCTGCTGAAGATCCAGACCAAGTACCTGGGCCGCCAGTGGAGGAAGAGCAACATGAAGACCATGTCGGCCATTTATCAGAAGGTCCGCCACAGGCTCAACGACGACTGGGCCTACGGGAACGGTAAATAGCCACAGCCAGTCATAAAGTATTTCACTTTAAGATTAAATAAAGAACCAATTTGAATATATGAGGGATCACATTGCAAGAAATGTAGTTTAGTGGGAGGGTGTTATTAACCATATTCCCCCTATATTTTCATCAACCTTTTCTTAAAAAAGCAGACGCAATGCTCTTCTTTGTTACAGCCCTAATTCATAATTGATGGTGCAAAGCTTATTACATCATCCATAATTAATCAAGTGCAGATTTAATTTATTTATTCTCTTGAACCCAGTTGGCCTCTCTTGAGGTTTTGATAAATAAAACAAGCTTGAAGATAATTATTCCCACCAGCCCTCCTTTACCGTCACACATAACTGATAATAAAACACAGACTGCAGTATAAAGAACACATTTACCCGAAGCGCTGTAAACCCCATATTTAATACCAGTACATATTCCTATTTCCTTACTAGTGGTAGTGGTGTCGTGTGTTTAAGTACCCGTCTGTATGGATGTATGTACCATGCGTGTGTGAAATGCAATGCTCCTGCAGCCATTGGCGAACAGCCTGGATTATGTTGCCATAGCAACAGAGAAAAGAAGGACTTTTTCAGGGTCACCGTCCCTCGTGAGAGTGCAAGTGATCTGTCAGCGTTAGTGTGTAGAGAGAGGGTGGATAGAAGGCAAAACATGGAGAGAATACATCACCCCCATCCTCATCCAACTCCACTGGCTGCCCGTTCAATCCTGTATCAACTTCAAAAACCTACTGCTCACTTACAAAGCCCCACATAATCTGCCCCCCCCCCTATCTGGCTGACCTTCTTCAAGAGTACACCCCCTCTCGCTCCCTCCGCTCCTCCTCTGCTGGTCTGCTGACCGTCCCCACCCCACGCCTCGTCAACATGGGTGCTCGGGCGTTTAGCTGCACTGCTCCCAGACTCTGGAACTCCCTCCCCCCGCACATCTGACAGTCAGACACAATCACCATATTCAAATCCCAATTAAAAACCCACCTGTTCAAATCTGCCTACTCACTGTAGTGCTCCCCATTATATGTTTCATTTGTGTCCACTTGACTGTCTCCTCCATGATTTCCTGTTTGTGTTTTTATCATGTTCTGTTGACTATTAGCGTTTTCTTTCTTTTTATAACAAATTGTACGGCGTCCTTGGGTGTCATGAAAGGCGCCTACAAATAAAATGTATTATTATTATTATTATTATTAGAATAGGGGAGGCAAAGAGGTGAGGAAAAGGATAGATTTGAGGTGAAAACGTGAAGATTTAAACATTAATTAAATACAGAGATGGAAGAAGTACTCAGATCTGTTACTTAATTAAAGTAGAAGTAGGAATACTCTGTTACAAGAAAAAGTCCTGCGTTCAAAATGTTACTCAAGTAAAAGTAGAAAAGTATTTGCATAAAAATATACTTAAAGTACCAAAAGTATGCATATGCAGATTGGCCCATTTCAGAATAATACATATTATATGTTTTATAATTATTGATGCATTAAAGTGTTATTAAAGATGTAGCTAGTTTTAATGACTTTTTATACTGCAGGGTAGCTTGTAAATATACTCCAGGTGTAACTAAAGTCTTATTTAAGTGTTGATTCTATTTCACTACATCTGCAAAGTAACTAAATACATGTAGCGGAGTTAAAGTACACAATTTACCTCTGAATTGTAATGGGGTAGGAGTACAGAGGAGCCACAAATTGACACCCTCAAGTACCTCAAAAGTGTTTGAGTACAATACTTGAGCAAAATCTACTTAGTTACTTTACACCACTGATTAAAAATGCCCCTTCTCTTTCTTCCTCCCCAGATATCGACGCTCGTCCCTGGGACTTCCAGGCGGAGGAGTGCGCGCTGCGGGAGAGCATCGAGAAGTTCAACAGCCGCCGCTACGACAAGAACAAGAACTGGGAGTTTGCGCCCGTGGACAACTGCCTGCAAAGCGTGCTGGGCCAGAGGGTGGAGCTGCCCGAGGACTTCCACTACAGCTACGAGATGTGGCTGGAGAGGGAGGTCTTCTCACAGCCCATCCAGTGGGAGGGGCTGCTGCAGAATCCATGATGGAGGGCAGGGAGCGGGGGGCGGGGTGTAGAGAGAGGTGAAGCCTATTGGAGGTGTTTTAGGGTGTTTCCTTATTGCAAAACTGGAAGTAGAAGGAGGAAGGAGCAGGGATGGGGGTTCTACTTCACATGAGTGATGGAGGAATGGGGGAGGGGGAAGAATCTAGAGATGGAGAAGCTAGAAATGGAGAAGCCATCACACAGGCTATGCAGGGTTGAGAGAAAAATGGAAGATGAAGGGAAATTTGACGAACGAATGGAGCCAAACAGACACACACTCGATGTTAACATGTGCCTATGACTACTGTGAACACACACGGACAGGCAAGAACAGAGGTAGCAGCTAATAAGACGTAGCAGGAGACGGCCACTTATACTGCCCCCCCCTGAACAAATTATGTCACCACTTTGTCAATTTATATGTCCCCCTTTTTAAAACGTTGGTGCTTTTTTGACGATTGTTTCCTATTTACTTTTGTGAGTTAATTAAGGTGATTTATAATCCGTCGTTTTTTTTATTATTTTTTACACAAAGCCTACTGTAAGTATCTGGGTGTAGTTGATGGATTTTTCTTAAGCATTTTCTAGAAAAAAAGGGCCTTTTTGGAAGAAAAACCACAGGGGGATTTTCATGGTTAAAACGTAGAAGTGGGATCTATCTCCACCGATGGCATAGTGATTTTACATAATATGTCAGAAATATACCAGCTGTTAGTGTATGGGTTTGTTTGTGAATGTAAAAATGATGTAGGTGAAGAAAGAAAAAAACAGTACATGAAAATAGGAAGAAGTTGGAAACCGAATATACATTTTCTGCAGGAATCTGATATATTTTTAAAAATAGAAACTTGTATATAATCGTTAATATTCCAGAAATCTAATAGGGACTTCAAAATCGAGAAATCACAAATCTATACTCACTGATGTCATCCAAGATTTCACATATCAAACCTAAGAATGGATATGGTCCCATAGAAATAACAGGGGTGTTTTGTGCACTGGATTGGTTTACAAGATGCACATTTGCCCCAAAAACGTCACCTTTTTGAAGTAGTTTTGTCTTTTTAAAATCCAAAAATATTATTCTGATAAATTTGAGATCTCACATTGTGTGTCACCTGTAAAGGGTAATTTCTGAGTATGGGGAAAAAGCCACTTCCCTGAGTTTTTATATGGAACCATGCTAAGCTAACCAAACCTCATTAATGATCAGAATAACCAACAATCGTGACTCCACCCCCCTCTGAACAACAGCACAATTACCCACAGTCCTCCTTGGTGGTGGCCTTGGTGAGCACGTTGCCACCCTTTGCTTAGAAGAACACAGCTGACACAATAATGGTGCTGTTTTTTCTTATTCGTCTACACTGTATATGTCGCTCACGTCCAACTACCTAAAGCAGGGCTCCAGAGTTCGGAGCTCTGAATAGATTCTGAAAAACTGAAGCACAGAAAACAAAAAAAGCATGGTCGCCTTTCTTTCATGTCACTCACACTCGGTTCAGATTGAAGAGCAGTCATTTATTAGCTCTGTATAGAACAATAATTTTGTCGATGTGCATGGCCACTGTTTTGTACCTGGTCACATTTAAATTTGTGGAATGGCTTCTTTTTTGTTGTCTAATGATGTTTCCAACACAATTAGAAAAGTGTACTTGTTTCTTCTCGTATAAAAATATTATTGTGTACTAAATAGATTCTCAGGTTTATGGAGATAATATATTGCAAAAGTTTTTAAGCTTCCTTGCCATCATCTAGCTCATGACATATAGTGATGAAGACACTTTGATCATCACATTCGTATATGAAAATACACCTGAAGCACTAAACATATACTGCACAGGATGTACTACACAATAACTCATCGTGAGTTTGTATTCATGTCAGCGACATTTCATGTTGGGATGTATTTTTTTGTATCTTGTGCCAAATTTCAGTGCCATTTTCTATTTTTTATTTCATCGTCGTTGCCTCCATGATTATATTTGTTTCCTTCACTCAACCACTGAAGGTTTACAATACAAAAAAATGTTTTTTTTCTACAATCAATGAAAGTAATTGTTTCTTGTATCTGGTACTGTATTTTACCAGGGGTGTTACGCATTGTATGGGTGTTACTATAGTATCTATGGTTTTTTTTTGTTACACACATTTCCATATCTTTATAGTCTTGAAAAAAATAAATACTGGATCTGTTCTGGGGTATGTGCAATTACAGATTCATAGAGGCATTATTTAATAGAATGACAAAGTACACTATGAGAGTTGCTTATTAAATAATGTTGAAGAGTTGTTTGGTGAAGTGAGTTTTTATTGGCTGATGGAGCTGTGCAGCTTGTACACACAACACAGAAGACCAAAATGACCCCACACTCGCGTCACACTTTTCCTCAGGCAAATGTTCCACTAGAGCGGGTACAGCTGTGTGAAAGGGGACGTTAACATATCCCCCTTTGTGTTTGGCTGGTGGTGTAATGATGTAAAAAGGCCCTGTTTGTATCCTTCAATATACAGTATGGTAAAAGCAATTAAATAACTGCAGCAAACATGCTTATTATAAGGCTAGCTGTCTGGTTTCAGACATAGGGTGATAAGAGGTGCTGCAGCACAGGCAGTATGAGGAATAATACATACTTTTTTCAACATTAAAGCATAAATATGTCACAGTAGTGGCAAAAAATACATATATGAAATGATAGGGCCCCTTTAAGCTCTTTGTAGAAATACAGGTCTTTCTGTCAGAATGAAGTACAGAAAAAATAAGTACTTTTAGATGAGTCTTTTCCTATACAATTTAATTTGAATGTAGATCATAGTGATTCAGACATTCCAGTACAATGATGTTTTGCCTAAATGTTGTGCAGCATTTTCAGGCCCAGCGCTGCTTTCCCGTGGAACTCCCCCGTCCATACCAGTCCCTGTGTGTCAGTGAACGCCCCGTCGCCCTCCAACCTAGAAACACAAAATCTCACATTGGATATTGTAGCCAAAAGGTAAATAACATTACTTGAACATCATGTCTTGGATCTAAATTTTATATCCCAACCTAAATGACTTATTTATATTGAATAAGATGTTCTATCCAGTTTTTAAACTACTCAAGTGGAAATTAAAAGAAAATTGGTTAAAGGAGCTAATTTCTAAAACTCTGCATGTCAAAATTATCGTCACTAAGGCACTTAGTACATTTGAAATCTACAACTGGGGCATCTTATGCTTTATTCTGGTTATATAAACAGGCTAACCCGAACCACTGCTTATAAATTAGACACAGTGCAAGATAACAATCATTTGTACATGGCCCTTTCTAGAAACAAATTAACGGATTACACAGTAGGTGTAAGTGCCTCTTACCTGTTCTTGTTGAAGGGACCCTTGTAAGTAGAGCCATCTGGAAAGGTATATCTTCCCGTGCCATGGTACATGTTGTCTTTGAATTCTCCTTCATAGAGTGCTCCAGAGGGATGATTCAGGGTCCCTCTGCCATGCATCTGTGAGAAAGAGAGTGTTCATGTGTGACTAACCACAGACATGGATGCTGAACTGGACTATTAGTCGCAGGCTTAGGGGTCGAAAGTGTCAGGGCCCCAATGTCTTCAACTGCAAAATGTCACTCGTAGAGAAACGTACCAACAAGGAGGATTGTAAACTTGGGCACAGGAAGCATAAAAGCAGGGCCGTTTCTAGCTTTTTGGGGGCCCTATGCAAGATGCTGTTTGGGGGCCCTAGTTTTGACAGTTTTTTTAAACTACAATGGGGGGGATTCCGAAGCCTTTAAGATGATCTGTGGAGATGCATCAATCTGTTACACTTTAATAGGAAAACAGGCTAATTTCACGAAAACCAAGCAATTGAAAATTACAAAAAATGATATTAAAAAGGTAAACAATAAGGCTCCTCTATGTCAATAAATGCAAGAGATGCAGCATTTTCTCAGCTGTCAGCCCAACAATGATTTGGACTTTATTACCCCAAAAACCCAAGCCACAGCTTTGCTATCATTGCAGTTTAGTCCTACATTGGATTTGTAAGCATATAATGCTTCACCGAACACTCACAGGAGGGGGCTTGGCAGTCTACAAATAAAGACGGCTCATTTTAATTCTCCCCAAATATATTGAGGCTGAACCTGAACTTTGAATTCTCTGCTCCCATCATAATCTTGGCGATCTTGTTAAAATTGTTAATGCAGAATTAAAAATACTATGTAACTGGTTTGCAGTTAATAAATTATCCCTTAATGTGGCCAAAACAAATTACATGTTATTCAATACAAAGTCTGAGAGTAGAAATGACTGCATTATACGGATTTGCAATACAGAGATAGAACAAGTTGGTGCATGTACATTTTTAGGACTGCTTGTTGACGAAAAACTCAATTGGAAGCACTATATAAATTATGTACAGACTAAACTGTCAAAAACAATAGGTATTTTGTATCATACTAAGAACATTCTTGAAGAAAATATACTCTTTATAACAGTCTATTTCTCCCTTACCTTTAATACTGCTCCGAAATATGGGGAAACACTTACTCAACAAATCTACAAAAAATAATAACATCCCAAAAAAAAGTATTATGAATAGTCTGTGATGTTGGTAAATATGAACACACAACTCCCATATTTAAAAAAACTCAATCTATTAAAATGTGTTGAGCTTAAAACAGTACTGATTATGCACAACATTTTCCATAACAAAATGCCTAATAACATTCAAAAGCAGTTCCAAACCACAGCGTGAACATATGAATGTAAAAATAGTCACTTGAAAATAAGTGTTCACAATGTTTATATGCAATTATGCATATATTATTATTATTCATTTGCCAAGTGCATGTTTGGCAAATTTCCAAAAAAAGATAGTTGAAACTGCTATAGACATGTGCAGAAAATGACCCTATATCTAGTTTTCGTATATATATATCCATTTATTGTTTACCTGCCCTAACTTTTATTTAATCTTTTCTCCTGTTTTCTTTATTTTTTTGTACTCCTTCATTTCTATACGTTTTTGACGCAATAATGCCGCTGTATTAGGATGATGCACGGGAGGGCTACTTTCCACAAGCTATGCTTCAGCCCTCCCGCTTCTACTAATTTTGTTCATCTTTGTGTGTATGAATTACACTTTTTTTGTTTTTCGGATGAATAAAAAAAAAAAAAAAAAAAATACTTTCAGCTTGGGGGCCCCCTAGTGGCCGCGGGGGCCCTATGCCCTATAGGAAGAAACGGCCCTGCATAAATGAGACTCAAAATGACCAAAAATGGACACGTAACAACGACAGACAACTAAATACTTATCAAACGCTTACAAAGAGACACAAAAGGAATACAAAGTGACAAAAATGGACCACAAGTAGACACACACTACATAGAGAAACAAAATGAAAATAAAGTGACATAAAAGAACCACAAAAAGTCACAAAACTAGAAAGAAACACAAAACAAAGAGACCCCAAATGACCACAAAGAGACCCACAAGTACCACAAAGGGACACACACACAAGTCGTATGTATTTTTGCTCTATTTAGGAAATGTGGTGGGTTTGCATTCAAGCATAGCAAATACAACCATCAAGTCACGTAACAGACATCAAAATAAGTAAATACATACTTTGTCTTCCAGCCACTCTCCTGTGTATATGATTCCCCCTGCGGAGGTGTGTGTACCGGTACCGCTTCTCATCATAACACCTGCACACCTGCTGCACTCCCCCTCTGTGGAAAAGAGAAGAGACGCACACACACCTATGTAGCTGTATTGTACATGTGGATCTGCCGAATCAGTGGATAAGTTATTACTCACCATATTTGTCCCCATTGGGAAAAATGTAGGATACTTTAATAGGTCCTTCGCCTGTAAACAAAAAGTTACTTTAAGAACCTTAACTGATAGATGCAGAATTTGCACGTATGAAACTATAATATTTACCTTGAGTTTTAACATCTTCACTTTCCTGAATGTCTGAAAGTTAAAAAAAAGTACAACATAAGACAAAAAACTGTCAAGACAAAAGGAAATGTGTGTGTGCTGGGTCTGTGTTATTAGAAACTATTCACAATCAAACCCACCAGACATAAGAGATGTTATCAGATTCGACAGGAAACGCTGCGAAGGGATGAGGAAAGTAAAAAATGTTTGTGCTATATTAGTTAACTTTATCACCCCAAAACATGTCAAACCGCCTCCAGATATGAATTAATATATCATATTTTGTTGTTTATTTCCCTGTCGCCGTTTTCTGTGTTAGCTTGTAACTGCAGTTGCCATAGTTACAAAATCCCGAACATAACAGGCTTCTTAACAGCTCTGTTGTTTCATAAACAGTGTTACTATTGTTATAACAATTTAATTTAGCTGAATAGGAAACTCAACTTTTAATTTTAGTCCAACCACCGCCAAATATTAATTAAAATATAATATTTTGTTGTTTATTTCCTTGTCACCGGACACCGGAAGAACACTTTGACCTCTAAGTTTTAGACCAATGAAGGAGAAGCAGGCTACCGGTGGTCGGAACCGGTCGAAACAGCAGCCTCAGGTTAGTCCATACTAGTTATGAAAGTAAAGTTTTTTCAAGTATGTATGCGTTTTATCCCGTATAATAAACATAAAATTGTTGAAGATATTCTTTAGCATTAAATACATCCGTCTTGACTAATGAGAAAGCTTCTCTTTGCTAGCTTGTTAAACCAGAAGTGAGCTTGCTAGCTTGTTAGCATGTTAGCTAGTGGAAGCTTGATGCACTTTACTTTCTGACGTGCCACACTATGACACACAACCACGTTATTGCTAATACCAGCTACATGTTGTCCTTTCATAACTTGCTATCTAAGAACGTTGTCAGTCCGCCAGGCTTGGACGGTAAATGGACTTTGCCTTTGTTGGGTTGTTAAGTCGGTATGCTCCGTTTGGTTGCATAATTGTAGCCACCAGCGCTGTGTGTCAGTCACCATCTCATTGCTCGCGCTTGAACTAAAGTGCCACAACGAGCCACCCAGACTACAACGATGTGCTGCTCTGTGCACTGCAGTAGATTTTTGCCCGGTATCGCAACTAGCAGCTCTCTCTGGCTCGTCCAGGATTATTGTATACCAGAAGATTTTACTCAACCGATGCATTTTATGTCTCTCTTCACAGATTATTTGCTACTATGAAAGGACAATAACAGAACGTGAGTACAATGTGTAACAGCTGTATATTTTAGGCAATCCAGAATGTTTTGTTGATGATAATTCTAAGGCAAATTGCTCCAAATATGTCATCTGTGATGGATGTGTTTATGTATGTGTTTTGACAGAGAAATGAATGCAAGGAGAAGAGGTGGGCAGCCTAACAGAGGAGGGGGGAAGTTTAACAAGCCAAGAGGAAGAGGAGGAGGAAGAGGAGGAGGAGGAGGAAGAGGAGGTGGAGGTGGCGGTGGAGGTGGAGGTGGCGGTGGCGGTGGAGGTGGAAGTAAAGGAGGAGCTTGCGTCTATGATGACGGTGATGATTTCAGTCTTGATTCCGGACCCTCTCGTCCAAGCAGGTATGTCAAGTGAAGGAACTAATGATCAGATTTGAACTTTCTCATAGTTTGCTCATTTCCAGCTGAATCCCCTTTTCACCCGAATCTCTCTTGTTCTCCGCCCTTTCTCTTGAATGACCAGACCTGGTAGAGGACGGGGCGGCGGAGGCGGTGGCCGAGGTGGCGGTGGCCGAGGTGGCGGGGGCCGAGGTGGTAGCAGTGGTGGGGGCCGCGGTGGCGGTCGTGGTAGCGGAAGCAGTGGTGGCGGAAGGGATGGCGGTCGAGGAAGAGATCGTGGGAAAAGCAGCAGCAAGCCTCTCCCAAGGTCCCTGGCGAGGACACGAACAAGCCCAAAGCCAGATGACAGCATCCGGCCGGAGATGAGCACCATGCCCATGCAGAAGATCTTCATGACTACTGAGAACCAAGAACAACTCAAGGAGCTGCTGCGGAATCTGCAGACCCGGGACTTTGATGAGCCATACGAGTAAGTACATTCTACTAAATATATCAATTATATAGATAGCTTTCCTTTTCCATTCCACAAGTAATCATATCATTCTATCTGCCTCAGTGAATCTGATTCAGATTATTCTGAAGAAGAAGAGGATGAAGAGGAAATTGATGAGTTGGACCACCGTGACGAGGGCCAGTTTTGGGCCACTACTGATGAGCCTGTGGAGAAGGCAGAGAGCCCGGTGTATCTGACCGAGTCGTCTGATGAGGAACGGCCTACCCCTGAACCTATCCTCTCCTTATTCGCCATAGGAAAACTCTGCAGGTAGTGCACATATTTGTTATCCTGCTTTTCATCTGAAGCCAGTGTTTTGCTGCTGGGCTCTTAAGAACCTAACTTTGGAGAAGATTAGGAAAAAGGGTTCAGATACAGCTAAACGATTGACTCCTAATAACCCTAAACATTTATTTTCTTATTGTTCTTTTCTGTAGGTATGGCTTTGACAGGGAGCGTGGCAAGCAGGCATTGGAGGCTAGTGGAGGGGAATTTGGGTCCACTCTGGAAAAGCTCCTCCTCCAGATTTTCAGTGAGCGCTACGGCCAGAAAGCTGTTTCTCCTGATGGTCTTGAAGTGGTGCCTAGGGATGAGTGTTTGAGCCAGAGGCAGGAGGAAGCTCTGGCTCTCGCTGCCATTTACGGTGAGCGCTTCAACGAGCGCATTGCCAATACAGTGTGGACTGTAACCCTGGACCTCTCATTCCTCTCTGACAACGCAGCCAAGAATGGCAGGCATGGTCGAGGTGGTGAAGGAGTTGTTCACATCCGAGATGTCTGCCGGTTCTTTTTGAAAGGGCAAGGCTGTCGCTTTGGGGACAAATGCAAGTTCAAGCACCAGCTCCCCACTAAAGGGAGATCTGGCTCCCCAGACTTTCAGGGCCCGAGCCAGCCTGGCTTCAACAGCTTTTCCCCTAATGAGTATGAACTAGAGGTGCGTTTTCCCAAAGGAAACCGTTACCCGTTTCAGGCACCAATAGTCGCCTTCAGCACCACCGATGTGTCTTTAGGGGCCGCGGGGAGGCTCAGCGTGACGGAAAAATTGTTCGAAGAAGCGTTGGCCGCAGCAAAGAGCAACGAACCTGTCGTTTACACTCTGATCACAATGTGTGAAGATGAATCTGCGATCAAGGAACTGCTGGCTGTCCAGCATCACAAATACAGCACGCCTCCGCCTGTGCTGGTGCTTCCTCGACCCTCTCTTCCCATAGCGAAGAGTAAGAGCGTGAGGAGCAACGCTACTGAGGACAGCAGGAGCAGTAGTACCAACAGCAGGAGGACAGCACCACCTACCAACCAGAGACACATTGATTGTGAGTCAAAACGATTTCCCCTATTTATTCTAAATGTTTTGCACCAAATAATACTCAGCATTATATGTTATGTGTGTAAGAGTTGAAGTGCTATCTCTGTCTTTAAAGTGAAAGAGAAAGTGGAGGCAGAGGAGCTGGATGAGAAGGACGAGGACGACGAAGATGAGGAGGATGTTCCAGTCGAGACTGAGAGTTACGTCAACCTGAGGAAGAAGATGGTGAATAAGCACAACATGAAGATAGACAACATGCAGAAAGAAAATGGCAAGCTGTGCCGGGAGTTTAAGAAGAAGCAGGTAAAGGACAACTCATCTTACCAACGTATTCTATCCAACATGATGTATGTTTTATAACTCACGGCTGTTCTTCCATCCCTCTGTCCACTCAGTCATCGGGGCGTTTCAGGTCCATGTTGGAGCAGAGGAGGAAACTGCCCGCTTGGAACGAAAAAGAAAACATCTTGGACCTGCTGGAGCGGTGCCAGGTGCTTGTTGTCAGCGGGATGACTGGGTGGGTCTCGGTGTTAATTGTTCCCATTCACAAGGACTCAGATCAGGAAAATGCTATTACAAACAAATATAATACTAGGATGTGGAAATATTAATTCTTTTGGATATTTGCTTTTCACCAGTCTTAAAGCATACATGCAAAATACCCCTTTTTTGACTAGTGCATTAAAAATAAATTGTATAACCTTAAAATATGATGATATTTGATTAAGTAACAACCCTTTCCTTCCATGTTGTACATACGTGAAATACTTAAAAATACATCAATTAAAAACCCCATGAAGATGCTGATAACTGGTGAATATCAAGAAGCTCTTCATACACCTGCTGTGACTGTTAAATGTTTTTGTTCTGTAACTTCTCTGCAGGTGTGGTAAGACCACTCAGATCCCTCAGTTCATTCTGGATGCCTCTTTAGGGGGTCCGGCAGATCAGGTGGTCAACATCATCTGTACTCAGCCACGCCGAATCTCTGCCATCTCTGTGGCCCAGAGAGTGGCGCAGGAGCGAGCGGAGAATCTCGGCAACTCTGTGGGCTACCAGATCCGCCTGGAGACTGTTCGGGTACGGCCACATTTGAATTGATGCTCGATTTTTAGCCAAAGGTTCCAGACAGGACTTCTGTGTTGCGTATGATTCCTAGCTCTATGTAGCTTTATGCGTCTGTCTTTTTTCAGTCGGCTGCCACCAGACTGCTGTACTGCACCACCGGCGTGTTACTGCGGAGACTGGAGAGCGAGGCAGACCTCAAAGGAGTATCGCACGTCATTGTGGATGAGGTGCACGAGCGAACAGAGGAGAGGTGAGATTATGCAAGTCCCTCACATATGGTGCAGAACGTAGGCTTTCACGCTCCTCCTAATGCATCTGAGCAGACACTTATGGGGAGGCACTACAGACAAACACTTTTAATTTAGAATATTTCAGCTATTTTCCTTCCATTACATGCTGTCTTTCAGTCGACTGGAAAGAAAACCTCCAAATCCCACATTTGAGTTACTTCAGTTTATTTAAACACACCTAAAGGTAACATTAATGCCTCGTTTGCATATTCGAACATAACAATTCTGAAAACCTGTATTGTCTCCCCTTAAAATCTTTTTAAATTTCATTTATCTCATACATAACCGTCGCAAATAATATGTGACCCGCTCTATCGGAATCAGTCGGAAGTCGTAACGGCTCATTTCAAAATAAACGTGGATTTGTGTAAAAAAATAGTTGTTCAGGTGTTTTGTTTGATTTTAAATAAACAAAGTCTTGGCTTTCAGAATATGAAACTTTTATTTCCAAAATCACACGATAAATACATGTTTGAAGCTTGTAAAGGGAAGAAGACAGTTCTCCCTCGCACTCTGCTGTTCCGCAGCGCCGCCCCTCTCCCTCCGGCTGACATTATGAATGTAAGGCGTAGAGTAATCATAGATAACACGGCAGGGTCCGTTACAGTTTGTTTTCATCTGATTTCAAATAAACAAAGTCTTGGCTTTCAGAATATTAAACTTGTTTGGGCAAATTCAGATGATAAATACAGCTTTGAAGCTTCGGCATAATTACAAGCGGAGAACGGAGTAACTTAACGTCACAGCAGGCATAACAACAGCCGGTGTTTCTCGTGAGTGTTCTCCCCGGGAAACAAACACAATACACACAAACGCAAAAATACACAAACACACGTATACACACACACACACAGACTCGCGAGCTTCCCCCATACCATTAATCCAAACGAAAA